TACATGCAGTTCTGTCTGTCGGAATTCAATCCTGTCTAGAACTAAACATGGAGAGTCTCCTGAAGCAGAAGATTCCAAAACCTACAGCCACTTGAACTTGCTTGGATGAAATTGAAGCCTATTCTTCCTAACTGAGATACCCACAACCTCCAGAAGTTTGATGACATCACTAGGTCAACCTGGAGTTTACAGGTTGTACAGCTGAATATCATAAATATTTTCAGAATAATTCATCCTGTACCATTGGGTTACCTCCTCAGGAGTTTAATATTAAACAAGAATGCTGAAAGAGTAGAATTCTGAGGGATGCCAAAGAGCAGGAGTATTAGGCTAAACCTATCTTCCTTGCCAACACCAACTGGAATTAGCCACAAAGAAAGGAGAATCCAAAAAAAATGAACACTATGCTTCTCACTCTTAGCCCTCAAAGTCAGATATAATGATTGATGGTAATGAAACCAACTGAAAAATCCAGAAAGCTTACTAAAGATGTACTACCCCAGAGGTGGTAATCAGCAGGTTCTGACCAGTTCTGGAGACCCAATAGCAGAAATTTTGAGTAGTTCAGAGAACCAGTAAATACCACCTCTGACTGGCCCTGGCCCCTCATTTATTCTCTGCCTCCTGAGTCCCAGCTGATCGGAAGGGAATGGAGATTTTACAGTATCCTTCCCCTGGAGTGGAGAGGGGATGGAGATTTTACAGTGTCCTGCCCCTGCCACACCCACCAAGTCACACCCACCAAGCCATGCCCACTAAGCCAATGCCATGCCCACCAAGCCACACCCACAGAGCCGGTAGTAAAACAAATTGAATCCCATAACTGCACTTCCCTATCTTACCCTGCCAAAAATCATTATTGTAAATATTTGAACATGTTTGAATTCTGTGAATTGTAATGTTCTGGAAATGGAGGTATTATTAATCCTGATATGTCCCCTAAATCCTTATTTATACTACAATGATTTAGTGAGGAATTGGAACTGAGTCTAATCTTTAACCTGCTCCAGCAGACTGGATGACATTCTTGTACTCTACAGCATTCATCTTCGAATCAACCATTTTCCAATATAAGAGACTAATACCTTTGCATTTTCCTTGAGCAACTGATGTTGCTTTCCCAAATATGGAAAGACATGCTGCAGTTAAACAAATAAACTAAATAATAAACTAACTACCCCATGTCTTTCCCTCTTTTGAAAAAGAACAAGGCATCTCAGAAAATGTTAATACATTAGGAACTTTTCCTGCTGGAAAAGTACATTGCAGGCAAACAGAGAGAAAGCATGCGGCTTCTTTTCCCATCAAGAAAAGTATAAAATGGTAACAATAAGTGCTTTGAGGGAAGCCAGAAGCCAGACTGGAAAACTAAATTTGAACCACAGGTATGAGGTTTCTATCTGGTAATAGGTGAAGGGGGAAAATGTGGTCCAACCAGAATCAGTGATATTTTGTCAAGGTAGGATTATCAGCCCATTTACTACAGTGAATAGTTCAAAAGGTGGAATTATTTGCACAACACTGGAAAGTGAAAAGATTCCTATTGATGAGAAGGTGATTGGGAAAATATTAGAATGTGCAGAAATGAATAGATTAACACTGGCAATTAAGGAAAAAGAACAAATTGAATGTTATATGGGAATTATTTTATCAATGGTTAGAGAATAAAAATGGAAGTTGGAAATTATTAATTAAAGACTAAAGAGAAGAAAATAAGTTAAGATAGAAATATAAACAGTATGATAATTGTTAGTATGAGGAGGAGAAGGATTATTATGCTTAATGTCATTACATTCTTATCAGAAGATAAATTAAGAGAGGAAAAATGAATAAGTTCACTATGTTCAACTGTTTAATTTACTATAATGTTAAGATTAGAGAATTAATAACATGTAAATGATGCAAATTTTGATGGTTATTGCACAGAAATATTTGTACCCAGAGGACACACTGTTTAAAGAAAGGTGGAATTTATACATTTTAAAAAAGTTATAACTTTTATTATTATTATTTTTAAAAGGTGGACATCCCAAGTAGATTCTTTTTATCCCCTTTTATCCCCATAAGTAACTTGCTCATTTGGTCACACGGGACAGAGACCAAACATTTTGTGTAGGGCAATCCTGGAACTGAGTCTGAAAGAGTCAGAGATTTAACTTGCTAACAAGAAGCCAATGTTGCAGCCCTTAAGAGCTTTCCGGATTGGATTGGCCTTTATAACGTATGAAAAAAACAGTTTCGCACAAACCCAAGGAGCTCCTTTTAAGGAAGCCAATACCAGGTTAAATGTGTTTATATGCTTCTGTAATCCATGGAGATTCACAGTGATTTATAAACCTCCCAGATAAGAGGATTAAAAACAATACATCAAAAGAAATAAGCTAAAACAATGAATTAGAAATTGTTTGGAAATAAACTTCATGCCAGAGGAATAAGTGAACATCAACACATGCTAAATCAGAGGGCTTCCTTCTTGACAAATATCACCCTCCCCACAAGCCTTTGAGAATAGCTAGCTCCTAATGATTTCACACAATGTAAATAGGGAAGGAACTAGTCTAATTTCTACTGTTGCAAAGAAGTAGAAATCTAATTTCTAATTTCTACTGTTGCAAAGGGTTACAACTGAGAAAGCTTCTTACCAGGACTTTGGCATGTGACTTTCTCTTAAAGAAGGGCTCAAGAAAACCCAGTTTTCCCAATCTTATTGGTGAGAGAGAAACCAGTGGGAGTAGGCAGATCCCCAGATCCTAAGCCATGGATGGTTTTATGGATTAAAATAACAAACCAGCACTTTAACTTGCTTTTTTGTTATCTGGGTTGCCATGGTGTAGGCCTGGGTCTAATGAGAAATGCAAGCACCTTTGGCATTTTCAAATGCTCAGACCACAAAAGACTGTAAAAGCACTAAATCTGGATTTTGGTTTTGTAAGAAGATGAAGTCCACTGAGCTATTAGATTTGATGTTCATCCTAACAATACAAAAAGATTAGTTTGTTTCTAATTACCATATAAAAATAACCAATCTTTGAACGTTCAAAATCTGCACTACACAAGATGCTGCATACAATATGTGTCCATGTATGTCACTTTTTGGCAACACACACACACACACACACACACACATATATATAGTGTCACAACCCCTGGTATGCCCCAATTATGGGAGGAAGCTAACTGCTGATCTATACTAGTCTCCCTTTATTTATTTATCAGCACAAATATAACACAACACACACACACACACACACACACATATATACATATATACATATATACATATATACATATATACATATATACATATATA